CCTCCGCGGGTTCGCGGCCGGGCCCAGCCCAGTCCCGCCGTCCCCGGCCTGGCCCACCCTGAGGAGCCTTCAGGATTGTGGACCACCCGGCGCTGGAACGTTCTGACAACCGAGTGAACTCGTGTGTGTGTGTATGTGTGTGTGTGTGTGTGTGTGTGCGCGCGCGTGTGTGTGTTTAGCATGAGCTTGTGAGATAGGCCCCCTACCATTTGACAACCAAGTGAACTGGGTGTGTGTGTGTGTGTGTGCGCGCGTGTGTGTCTGTGTCTGTGCGTGTGTGTCTGTGTGTGTGTGTGTGTGTGTGTGTTTAGCATGAGCTTGTGAGATAGGCCCCCTACCATTTGACAACCAAGTGAACTGTTTGTGTGTGTGTGTGTGCGTGTGTGTGTGTCTGTGTCTGTGCGCGCGTGTGTGTGTGTGTGTGTGTTTAGCATGAGCTTGTGAGATAGGCCCCCTACCATTTGACAACCAAGTGAACTGGGTGTGTGTGTGTGCTTGTGAGATAGGCCCCCTACCGTTTGAACCATGCCTCCTAAACAACCTCGGAGTTCTTGATTCACTTTTTGCAAATGCCTGAGCGCTCGTTGCTGTATAATTTATACTGTGAGCTGTTTGTATGCATAGGTCTCTTCTCATCCCTAAGTAGATCCTAAGCAGATGGAGTTCAGTTATAACATGAACACTTTTGTACTTGCTTTAGACAAATGAAAACAAGGCCTGGAGAAGTCCTCATTGATTGTTTAGACTCTATTGAAGATACCAAAGGAAATAACGGGGACAGAGGTAAGCCTACTTTTAATGAATTTTATATTTACACATGCAGATTCTTATTAGCTGGAAAATAGATGCACTCGCATCATATGCAGATGTAATTGTAATCACAGAAAATTTAAACCCACAGGATTTTCTTAGAATTGAGTAAAAGAGAGAGTAGCCTTTAAGCTTACAGCCAGAGAACAGGATCTTCCTCAACTTCAGCCCATCACTAAGTCCTGCTCTGACATCAAAACCTTTATCCAGCGAAACTGTTAAAACTCCAGGAGGAGCCCTGTTTGCAAGTGTCATGGGATACTTCTGATCTGACACCCCAAAAAAGGATTTGGGAGGCAGAGGCCAGTTGCTTATGCATGTAATCCTCGCTACTCAGGGGGCTGGAATCTGAGCATGGCAGTTTGAAGTCAGTGCAACAGGAAAGTTGGTGGAACCCTTATCTCCAATTAACTACCAAAAAGCCAGAAGTAGAGCTGTGGATCAAGTGGCAGAGTGCTAGTCCTGAGCTCACAGGAGGATGAGGAGGGAAGAGGAGGAGAAGGAAGAGGAAGAGGAAGAAACTGAGCAGCAAAAGAACATGTTGTCACTACCAGCTCTGGGTAGATCCTGTCAGTGGCTAGAGCCTATCCTTAAATGAATGCTTAGATCATTTCTGAAGTGTTTTCTGGCATCATTCAGGCCAAGGCGAGGGTAAATTTTGGAGTTTGGACAGCAAACATAGTCTTGGTTTGTGCCTTTGAGGGTGAAACAACAATTCCACTGTCACAATAGCTAATCTTGCTGAAATTTGAATTGACTTGAAGAAATCAAGAAAAAATTTTGTTGTTCTTATACAGATTGGCAAGAATACTTACATACAGACCATCTTCCAGTACAGACAAAGACTGTGGGCAATAGATCATTTTTGACTTATCAAATAATAAGTGCGGAATACTTTGGAGGAGGGATGAAGGAAAATACTCCCCAGCCAAAAAACTGCATCACAGTGCGTGAAACCCTACTTTTAGTGAAAACAAAACAAAATATATTTGGATATGTATGGGCATGTGTGCACTCAGAAACCTCTGTTTAAATGAAACTACAGAAGTATCCACATTTTCTGGGTTAAAAGGTGGTAGAAAAGAAAAGAAGAATCTTGCTTTCCAAACATCTATATACTTTCCTTTCCTAGCAGTTTAACAACTAAGTTAAGGCACTGTTGGGTCCAGAGCCCCTATTTTAGAACTGTAAGTACACTAGAAGATTAGCATGTTAAATCCATTTTCAACTCCAGTACACTGCCACGAAATGATCAGATTAGCTTTGTGCACTGAAACCGTGTGAGAATGAAACAAGGGCAGTGTTTGGAAGATTAGTGTTATGAAGATTAGAAGAAACAGGGACAGCAAGTGTTTGGAATGTCAGAGGGAAAAATCTAGGCCTGAAACACTGGATTTGAAGTTATAGGAAGAGAGGGGGTCCTTTCAGAGAAAAAAAGGCAGCAGGGGAATCAAAGAGACTTCATAGAAGATACATCAAGAGAAAAAAAAAAAAAGATTTGGTTGGCAGTTTTCCAGGGATACTCTAATAGAAAAACATTAAACATTAGTGGATAACCTCGGTTCATAGCCTAGTTGCACAGACAAAATATTGTCTTAAGAAAATGATAAACCAATTTATCCACAATTTGCATGTATGTTTGTGTGTCAGTACTAGGATTTGAACTTAGAGCCTTGAGTTCTCACTTTGCTTTCCACTCAAGGATGGTGCTCTACCACTTAAGCCATATCTCCACTTCTAGCTTTTTGCTAGTTAATTGGAAATGAATCTCATGATTGATCATCAGATCTCAACCTCCTGAGTAGCTAGAATTACAGGTGTGAGCCACCAGCACCCAGTTATGAATAAAAAGTCATAAAAGTGAGTTGCGGAACATTAAACTATAAAGCTTGGCACCATAGTACACACCTATAGAACCACCTACTTTGGGCTCATTTGGCCTAGACAACAAGATCCCATCTCAAAATAAAAAATTTTGTCCTTCCAGGTCCAGCACCTTGCTCTACTCCTTTCCCCTGGACCTGGAAAGATAGCTTGTTTTGCTTACATCAAAAGATTGTTCTTTGCCTCTGGCTTCTGTTTAGAAGATCAAAGGGAGGCCTGAGAATCTTCCTGGGTTCTCTCTGACAGAGAGGCTGGCTATGTCTCCTCTCTATAATCAGTCTGTTCCCTACGGCTTTTGTTCCTTCCAGATTATGTAAACTGCTCTATGCTTTGAGTTTGGGAAGGTAGCAAGTCTGCTGACTCACCTGTAATTCTAACATTCCATCCTTACTTGTAATAAGTCCTTCTGCAAATAATCTTCATTATCCTCCCTTGAGTGTCATATATTTTCTTCTTGAACCTCTAAAAGATGCACTGCATAGTCCTCTATGATGTAGGAACCATACATACACTCCATCCATATTGGGTTACTTATTATTTGCCAAACAATATCTAATTTCCCAAATTTTCCTCTGAGATTGCCTTCCTTTTAATTTTTTTCAGAACCTCATTTTTCTATCCCAGCTCACTCTGATACTCCTGTAAGCCTACTTTATTTTATTCTTTATTTTTATTTTTTACTATCTTTAAGTAGTTGTACAAAGGGGTTATCATTCAACATGTCAGTGTATGAGTACAATGCATCTTGATCAGTATCATCTGTTTTGTCATTCTTTGCCAAGTTCTTCTGACCCAGTAGGCTTTCAAGGAAGAAAGATTATAGTAAACTACTCATCACAAGAATCCTGTGGGAAGTGGAGCTGTGGCTCAAGTGGTAAAGCACAAGCTGTGAGCATAGAAGCTCAGGGACTGTACCCAGGCCCTGAGTTTTCAAGCTCAAGGACTGGTATACACACAAACACACACACACACCCCTATGGTTATAATTTGTTGGATAAATGTATTTAAGAAGTTCAGTGTGTTTTGTTAGTTCAAGATCTCTTAAAATTATTGTAATGTGCAACTATATTGTAAATCTCTAAGACATATAATTTACCATTTACTCTTTTGCTCCCCTTTTGGTCATCTGTACTATAGAGCAGACTGTATTCTACAGGACACACTTTGAGAAACGAAGCACATCTAACTTTGTACTTTTGTATGAGAGCATCGGAGTGATGCTAATACTGAAAAGTGCAAAGATTTCAGCCTTTTCCGTTAACTAAGTTGTGTACCTAAGTATATGGTTAATTTAAATGTGGACTTGTAAGACAGCACTCATATGACAGGGACTAGTGTGTACATGTTATTTTAGTGAGTGCTTTTATAATTATACCATGTGTCCATATATAAGAACTAAGGGCATCTTCTAACAAAACAAACCAAGCTATTGGCTACAAATACCTGAATACTTTCTATAGCTGTCACTTGTTAGTACCTAGAACAGATGTACAGGAAAAACAAGTTTTGTATTCCCTTCATTTTGTGCTGCAGATATGAGTCCTTTCTTAAGCTAATCAATTTCTTATCATTTGTTTGCTTTTAGGTAGACTCTTAGTAACAAATTTAAGAATTATCTGGCATTCTTTGGCATTAATTCGAGTCAATCTTTGTAAGTATCCTCATTAGATAAAACTCTAAGGAAAATAGAATCTTTCATCAAGGAAGGTGGGTGGCAGATTTTAATATTAAAAAAGCTATACTATGGCTGGGTATTATGGCTTATACTTTTTTTTGGGGGGGGTCCAGTAGTGGGTCCTGAACTCTGGGCCTGGGCACTGTCCTTCAGCTCTTCAGCTCAGGGCTAGTGCTCTACCACTTGAGCCACAGCGTATGGCTTATACTTGTAATCCTAGCTTCTTAGGAGGCTCAAATCTGAGAATTTAGGTTCAAAGCTGGCTCAGTCAAGAAAGTCCAAGAGACTCTTAATCTCCAAGTAACTACCAAAAAAAAAAACCAAACAAACAAACAAAAAAACCAACCAGAAATGGCTCTGTGGTTCAAGTGGTAGAGCACTAAGCACAAAAGCTCAGGGACAGGGCCCAGGCCCTGAATTCAAGCCCCAGGACCAGCACACACATAAGCACACATACACAAAGCTATACTATGAAATATATAGAAATCTGAAGTCTGACCTAACCACAGATTGCACCATAATACAAAAGAAATGTCCTGTTATTTTTTTTTTCTGTTTCTTACACATATATGAGACTAGTGCTTTTGTATTGAATGTTTTTTTTTTTTTGTCCATCGTGGGGCTTGAACTCTGGGCTTGGGCACTGTCCCTCAGTTCTTCAGCTCAAGGTGAGTGCTCTACTGCTTGAGCCACAACACCACTTCCTGTTTTCTAGTGGTTTATTGGAGATAAGAGTCTCACAGACTTTTCTGTTCGGGCTGGCTTTGAACCATGATCCTCAGATCTCAGCCTCCTCAGTAGCTAGGATTACAGGCGTCAGCCACTGGCACCTGGCTTTGTTTTTGTTTTTCTCTTAATAATTTTTTTATTGTGAAAATACCAAACAGAGGGGTTACAATTATATGAGCAAGGTACTGAGTACACTTCTTATCAAGCATTGTTGCCTCCTCCTTTGTTTCCCCTTACCATCCCTGCCCTCCCATCCCCCCCCCACACCTCTTGTTTTTGTTTATCTTTGTCAGCTTGATATAGAAGAAGAAAACCCAAAGAAAGGAGATTTAAGTCCTAGTGAAAATAGTCTTCATTATTGTAAATTGGTATCACTTACTTTTTAATACTGTTTTAGATGATCCAGTTAGGCTTTTTCTTTCATTGAAGGGTGCTATATGAGTTTGAGAAATGCATGCACCCTTTCTCTGGTTTTATGAGTATTTTTGTTGGTTCAAAGAGGCAGAATTGACTAGTTTAATTAAAATTTGTAATTCACAAAAATGTTAAAGTATTTCTTTTTTTTCTTTTTCTTTCTTTCTTCCTTCCTTCCTTCCTTCCTTCCCGCCTTCCTTCCCTTCCTTCCTTCCCTCCTTCCCTTCCCTCCTTCCCTTCCTTCCTTCCCTCCTTCCCTCCTTCCTTCCTTTCTTTCTTTCTTTCTTTCTTTATTTATTTTTGTGCCAATCCTGGGTCTTAAACTCAACACTTTGTGCTTTTGCTTGGCTGTTTTGCTCAAGGCTGGTACTCTAGCATTTGATCCATACCTCCATTTCCAGCTTTTTGCTGTTTATTTAGAAATAAAAGTCTCTTGAATTTATTTGAGGAGACTAGCCTTGAACCTCAGTTCTCAGATTTCAGCCCCTTAAGTAGCTAGGATTATGGGTGTGAGCTACTTTTGCCCAGCTGAAGTTGTTTTTTTGTGTATGTCTAATTTTTAAAACTATTTAAAAGTTCTGTATTTTGGGAGGGTGGGTCAGTCAAGGGGCTTGAAATCTGAGCATGGGCGCTGTGAACTCTGAGCATGGGCACTGTCCATGAGTTCTTCAGCTCAATGCAAGCACTCTGCCACTTACCCACTTCCGCTTTTCTGGTGGTTAATAAGAAATAAAAGTCTCACCAACTTTCCTGCCTGAGCTGGCTTTGAACCATAATCCTCAGATCTCAGCCCACTGAATAGTTTAGGATTACAGGCCTGAGCCACCAGCACCTGACGTATATATTTTTTACAATAGTATTTTTCTCAGCTTATTAGATCATGTTACTTACATTCATTGTTGCTTTTTTAAATTTTAGCTATCGGTTACAACTGCATATTGAATATTACAATAAGGACTGCTAACTCTGTAAGTCTGAGAAACCTTAGTTAATGTTTGTTTTGTTAGTTACTGTTTGCTTGTACTTTATGTGAGAACTTATTCTTCAAATCTGAACTTTTAAATAAATTTGTCCTTACAGAAATTACGAGGCCAAACTGAAGCTCTTTATATACTAACAAAATGTAACACTACTCGCTTTGAATTTATATTTACAAATTTGGTTCCTGGAAGTCCTAGACTTTTTACTTCTGTGATTGCAGTACGCAGGTATAGTAATAGTTTGTTGATTATTGTATATTTTTAAGTTGTATGATATAAAGGTTTAGAAGACAAAGTTTAGAAGTTATGATGATACCTTTTTCCAAAGCTTCACAGCAGATATCCTGGAGCTATTTAGTAGAACACATTTCATTATCATTTAATAAGCTCTCTGAAGGAATTTATGGAACATGTAAGACACCAGACATTTTAGTGCATACCAATAATCCCAGCACTCAAAAAACAGAGATCAGAAGGCCCATGGTTTGAGGTCAGCCCAGGGAAAGTTTGCATCTCCTATCTTAACTCAGGAGGCATGGATCAGAATGTTGAAAACCCTAACTGAAAAATACCTAAAGCAGAAAAGGAATAGGAGATGGCTTGATTGGTAAAGCACTTGTCTTGTAATACATGAGGCCTTGAGTTTAAATACCAGTACTTCCAAGAAAGAAAAAGAGGAGGGAAGGGAGGTAAGAAAGAAGGAGAGAGAGAGAAATCTAGGCTAAGATTACAAAAAATATAATTGTTTCAATTTGAATTTCATAAATATATCATTTTCTGGAAGTGGTGCTGTGGCTGAAAGTGATAGAGTACTAGTTTTAAGCAAAAGAGCTCAGGGATAGCGCCAAGCCCCCAAAATAATAATTATATCATTTTCTGCCCTATATGTCACAAATAATTCTGTTTCCCCTCAGGCTCTAGGGTTACAGATGTGCACTACCATAGCCAGTTGAAATTTTTTTTAATTTGCCATAATATGAAATGTATCTAACTTTATACACACACACATACACATTAGTAGATAAGTAAACATAACCTAAGAAAACCACATTCTCAGTTTGGATTAGTCTTTTGTTTGTTTTTTTATAGGGCATATGAAACTTCTAAGATGTATCGTGATTTCAAATTGAGAAGTGCATTAATTCAAAACAAGCAACTAAAGTTGTTACCACAAGAGCATGTTTATGATAAAATCAATGGTGTATGGAATTTATCCAGTGATCAGGTATTGTGCAAAAAACTAATGAACTTTTGGAAATGGTGTTTTGGCAGTCATTTTTTTCTACCATCATTAAGTTCTTACAGTGAGAATTATAGCTCTGGATAAATTAGTGTTATAGCTCTTGATATTAGGTAATATTCTGGTTTTTATGTTCTTTTCAGCAATCTCAATTCTGTATAGAATTGAGAGCTACAAATGGACCTTTGAGATCATCTAGTTCACTCTCCTTCACTTTCATACTTGAGAAACTCAAGCTTGCAAGTGTTAATGTAGTCTCACATGCATAGTTTGTCCCAAATCCTTAGTTTTCCTTATACTACACAGCCCTCAACTTCTTGGTAACTCAACATTAGTGGTGGAAGAACCAGAGAGTGAACAGTCACAGAGCCTTCTAATTTTATTTCATCTTCTTCTAACCCCTAGGTTTGTTAGAATCTCACTATGTAATTGAACCAGGCCTCACACTTGAAATCATACTGCCTCTGTCCCCCAAATGCTGGGATTATAGTCATGTACCACCATACCACCATGCTCAGATTTAATCTGGTCTTTAGAGAACTAGTCATATTATTTACTGACTTTTTTGCGGGGGGCAGGGGGGAAAGGGGGGGAAGGGATCCAGTTGTGGGACCTGAACTCTAGGCCTGGGCACTGTCCCTCAGCTCTTCAGCTCAAAGCTAGCATCCTACCACTTGAGCCACAGCGCCACATCTGGCTTTTTCTTTTCACTTATGTGGTGCTGAGGAATTGAACCCAGGGCCTCATGCATGCAAGGCAAGCACTCTACCTCTGAGCCACCTTCCCAGCCCTACTGACTATTTTCTCAGACAAGATCTTGCTATGTTCCAGGGTGGCCTTGAACTCAGAATTGTCCTGCCTCAGCTTCCCAGTGCTGGAATTGCAGGCATAGTCTGCTATGGCCAGCTCATTTGGTGACTCTTAAGTCTACCATTATAGTTTTTCATTTTCTCTTTAAATTATGATCAGTTGGAACATGTGAATAATTAGAAAATTTTCTCTCTTACTAGGAATAGCTTTTAGGTTTGTGTGTGTTATGACCTAGATGAGACTGCTAACCCTCTATGGATAACCTTTGGTATTTTGGAATATAGAACTTGGTTTTCTTAGTAGTCCTTGGGTTTGTGCTCAGGATTTTGTGCTTGCTAGATAGGTGCTCTACCACTTTTTGCTTTATTTTTCAGATAGGGTCTTGTGCTTTTGCCTAGGCCCAGCTACAGACCACTTCTGCCAAATGCCTCCTGCATAGCTGGGATTACAGATTACAGATGTGTGTCAACCTCAACTGGCTTGTTAAGATGGGAATATCACAATTTTCAAATGATATATAGATATATATTCTTTACATTTATCCTTTTTTTTTTTGGGTCCGGTCGTGGGGCCTGAACTCTGGGCCTGGTTGCTGTCCCTCAGCTCTTCAGCTCAAGGCTAGCGCTCTACCACTTGAGCCACAGCGCCAACTCCGGCTTTTTACTTTTTGCTTATGTGGTGCTGAGGAATCGAACCCAGGGCCTCAGGCATGCAAGGCAAGCACTCTACCACTGAGCCATCTTCCCAGCCCTACATTTATCCTTTTGAGAAAAGGATATATATGAATATATAATATGTTATATATAACATATTAAGGACATAATACATAAGATATATATACTACATATAATATAGTATATATTTTATGGGTTTTTTTGTGGTTTTTGTGGGGGGGTGTTGTTTATTGGTCCTAGGTCTTGAACTCTGGGCCTGGACGCTGTTCCTCAGCTCTTTAGCTCAAGGCTACCACTCTACCACTTGAGCCACAGCACTGCTTCCAGTTTTCTGATAGTTAATTGGAGATAAGAGTTTCACAGACTTTCTTGCCTGGGCTGGCTTTGAACCATGATCCTCAGATCTCAGTTTCCTAAGTAGCTAGGATTATAGGCGTGAGCCACCAGTGCCCAGCTACTATATTTTATGTATAATGTATATAAGATATATTTTTTGGGGGGGTCTGGTCTGGGGCCTGAACTCTGGGCCTGGGCACTGTCCCTTAGCTCTTCAACTCAAGGCTAGCACTCTACCACTTGAGCCAGAGCGCCACTTCCGGCTTTTTTCTTTTTGCTTATGTGGTGCTGAGGAGTCGAACTCAGGGCCTCAGGCATGCAAGGCAAGCGCTCTATCACTGAGCCACCTTCCCAGCCCAAGATATGTATTTATATGTTAAGGATATAATATATATTAAGGATATATATTACATGTATAATATATTAAAAACAAGGATGTTACCAGGTATGGTGGTACAAGCTTATAATCTTAGCTACTTGGGGGGCAGAGGTCTGGGGATCAATATTCAAAACCAGGTCCAAGAGTCCTGAGACTCCCATCTCAGCCAGTGGCTGGACAAGCTGGCATGTGCCTGTTATCCCAGCTATGGGGGAAGCATCATGGCTGGACACAGTGGTACATGCCTGTTATTCCCAGTGACACAGTATGAGGTTGAAGCGCAGGCATAAAGCAGGACCCTTCCTAGAAGATAACCAATGCAAAAGGTGCTGGAGCGCACACACAGCTCAACTGATAGAGCACCTGCCTTAGCAAGCTTGAGGCCCTTAGTTCAACCCAAGTACTACCAAAAAAGAAAGAAATAGGATGCTATTATCAATTTAAATTTAAAAAATAATGAAATATGACCTTATATATTTTAAGAAATATTTGGGAGGTTTACAATTGTGTTATCTAAATGAGAGGAAACAATGACCTAAAGAATTATTACTTACAAATGTAGACTCAGCATTGAAAAACTGAACATGGACAGAGAACAATAGCTAACCTTTTTATATAGTATTTATTTACATGATGAAAGGAAAATATATGCACTGTACATGTTTCTGTTTATAAGTGAGGAATAGGTCATCTTTTTCTGGTAGTACTAAGGTCTGCACTCAGGACCTTGTGCTTGCTAGGTAAGCACTTTACCCTGTTCTCTAAGTCCTGCTTGCTTTTTTGATAAAATAATAATTTATTACCAAAGCAAAGGGCAGTTTAGAGAAAAACCAACCACTTTAACAGGGACAGTGCACATCAAAGGGTGAGACAAGCAGTTGGAGTAAAGAGTCTGGGGCAGCTTGGAGTTTGTCAGTAGAGTGAGGATGGGATTTACTAGGTGTAGAGATATCAGGGCCTTGTCCTGTGGCCTTTCCCAAATGGTTTAGCCACTGAACGCAAGTTACCCAGGTATGGGAAGGCCTGTGCATATGCATTTGCACTTCTCTGCCTTCCCACTGATTCTCTTTGTCTTTTCCAGTTTAACCTTGAAATAGGGACTGGGCTCCATAAGAATACAGGACCATTATCTTAAAACTATAGGGCCGGGGCTGGGAAGGTGGCTTAATGGTAAAATGCATGCTTAACATACATGAAGCGCTAGGTTTGATTCCTCAGTACCACGTGCACAGAAAAAGCCAGAAGTGGTGCTGTGGCTCAAGGTAGAGTGCTTGCCTTGAGCAAAAAAGCTCAGTGCTCAAACCTTGAGTTCAAGCCCCATCACAGGGGGAAAAAAAAAAACACCTATAGGGTTGTTTTCACCTTGGGGTTTTCCTTTTCCTGCTTATGCCTACCTATATACCTCTGATAACATTCCCTTGGAAGAGTTCAGTATCCTGAACTTTTTCAGACATACAGGTGGTGAGGTCAGTCTAGCTGATCTCAGCTGACAGAAGATGATGTGAGCTCTCAGGTTCTAGAGGCCTGTCTGCCAGGACTCAGGAAAGTTGATTGGATCAGGCAAACATTGCTGAGAATGCGCCTTTCTCTGTCAAACCAGCCAAACTATAGCAGTCACAAAACAACCTGCCCTATGTTACCCAAGGGTGAAAGATGCTGTGGGAAGATGTTTGTACTGTACTCTAGCCTGGAGGTAAGAAGTTGAGCAAATATGTAAAAAAATTAATACAAATAATAATATTAGGAGCAGGGAGCAGGAGCTATGGTCAAAGGTATGCACTGGATGACCGTTTTCTCCAAATCGATTAGGTGTAGCCTTGCCAGGATAGGAAAGCTGTTTGTGCTCGAGGGTGGGGATAGATTCACTTTGCCTCCTGTCACAAGAAGTTTACCTGTCAGTCCTGTTATTCCAGCAATCTAAGGTGACTGAAATGACAGTGTGGAGACAGAATGTCTGCAGGTCAGTGAAGAGTTGCTGCTTTCTACCAAAAGCACTTAAGTTTCTGTTACAAACCCCCTTACATTTAAACATTTCTCACTCTTGGGGGAAGTAGGATGTTGAACAACCTAGTTTCATATATTTCCAGGCTGTGGATAAACTAGTATATAAATAGAGGATAATCTTCAAGGGCTAGAAAGAGACTGTTGTTTAATCCTAAAGATCACACCATTATAAAACAGAATACAAGGAATACAAGAGGGAACTAAAGTCAGAAAATACAAATTTGCCTTCTGTCAGAGTGCTTGGAAGGGCTTTTGTGCCAAATAACTGCACAAGAATCCCTTCTCCAGAGTTGAGAATGTGACTTAATAGTAGAGTGCTTGCCTAGCATGCATGAAGCCCTGCATTTGATTCCTCAGCAACACATAAACAAAAACAGCCAGAAGTGGCACTGTGGCTCATGTGGTAGAGTGCTAGCCTTGAGCAAAAGAAGCTCAGGGACAGTGCCCAGGCCCTGAGTTCAAGCCCCAGGACTGTCAAAAAAAAATCCTTTCATCATAACTTCTCAGCTTTAGTTGAGAAGTTGGCACATGTGACTACATTTTTGCTGTTCTCTACAGATCAGACTGTCCTAGAATTTGGTATGTGGGTATGTAGGCTCATCTCAATCATGATCCTCCTGTTTCTACCTCTCAAGTACTGAATTACAAGCATGTACCACCACCATGCCTGGTAGACTCCATTTTTATTCTGACAGCATCCTCCAGTGTCTTCAGATAGTTCCAGAGAGAATGGCCTCTTCCTTTGAGATATGGAGTCTCTTGGACTTTTCCTTCTGGGCTGATCTGGACCCATGATCCTGCAACCTTAGCCTCCTGAATAAGTAGGATGATAGGTGTATACACTACTGTTGGGTGCCCACTGTGCCCAGTGTTGGGTTGAGAAGAGGTCGTGCAAATTCTTCTGCCTAGGTTGGCCTCAAACCTTGATCCTCCTGTTCTCAGCCTAGGATTATATGTGTAAGTTTTAACTATACTGACAGTTAAATGATAAATGATTCCACAGTCTAGACTCATAGTCATCTAATTATTTTGCTATTATATCAGAAGCATTTATACTCCATAATACTCAGATCTTATATTAATCTAATGCTGTGATATCAGAATTATTCCATGTTCTAGAAAATAAAGATTAAGTATCCAAACAAATCATCATTGACTTATGATTCATTACTGTCTTTTGCAGGGAAATTTAGGAACATTTTTTATCACCAATGTGAGAATTGTGTGGCATGCAAACATGAATGACAGTTTTAATGTCAGCATCCCATATTTGCAAATTGTAAGTATATACATTTTGGTTACTTATTTAAATGTATAATAACTAATATAGTTAATAAATAGTCCATAGGACTGTTGGAATTAGACAAATTCTTTTTCTTTCCCATTTTTATGTGGCACTAAGTTATTAGCTAAGAGCATACTTTTTAAATGTTAATACTTTACCATTCCACTAGAAAAGATATAACTCTATTTATATTCAAGGAAAACAGCATCATTATTAACTTTCTACTAAAAAATAAATGCATTGGGTTTTAAATTTTTAAATAGTTAACTAAGTTTTCTTTATTGGATTCTGATCAAAGGTCTTTAGCCACTAAAGTTTTCTGGAACCTTTCTGTGGAGCAGGTAGGTTTGGACTTCTTTGGTTTGGACTTAGCACACTAACTCATATACTTGCTGTTGATTTTTCTTACCACTTTCTGCTCCAAACCCTTTTTAAGCCAGAATGAATCCACTGGTCTTATAAATGAGCTGCTTTCATTCTATTCAATTAGACTGCAACACAAGCTGGATTCATTCCACAGGTTTACTGAAGGAATCAAAGTGATTTTTAGTGCTAATACTTTTAGCTTAAGTTCAATTAAAGCTGCTAAAATTTAGAATAAGAACTCACTACATCTGAGACCAGTTTGTTTTGGAATAGATTTTTTTTAAAAAAGAGCATCTGGGCCGGGCACTGGTAGCTCACATCTGTAATCCTAGCTACTCTGGAGGCTGTGATAAGAGGATTGTGGTTCAAAGCCAGCCTGGGAAGAAAAATCCATGAGACTCTTATCTCCAATTAGCCACTAGAAAACTGAGCTCTACTGAGAGTGGAGCTGTGGCTCAAAGTGGTGGAGCACTAGCCTTGAGCAAAAAGCTTAGGGAGAGCAACCAGGCCCTAAGTTCAAGCCCCATAACCAATTAAAAAAGGGGGGGCTGGGAAGGTGGTAGAGCACTTGCCTTGCATGACGGAGGCCCTGGGTTCGATTCCTCTGCACCACATAAGCAAAAAGAAAAAAGCCGGAAGTGGCGCTGTGGCTCAAGTGGTAGAGTGCTAGCCTTGAGCTGAAGAGCTGAGGGACAGCGCCCAGGCCCAGAGTTCAGGCCCCATGACTGGACCTCCCAAAACAAAACAAAACAAAACAAAACAAAACCTAAGCAGTCTTATTAATACTTTTTGAATAGATGCAATATATGTGATATTTAGAAGATGCTTTCTTTTTCTAGTCCTGAGACTTGAACTCTGGGCCTAGGCACTGTTTCTGAGCCACTTTTGCCCAAAACTAGTGCTCTACCATTTGAGCCACCGCTCCACTTCTGGCTTTTTTTTTTTTTTGGCCAGTTGTGGGGCTTGAACTCTGGGTACTGTCCCTCAGCTCTTCAGCCCAAGGCTAGCACTCTACCACTTGAACCACAGCACCACTTCCAGCTTTTTCTACTTATGAGGTACTGAAGAATCAAACCCAGGGCCCCATGCATGCCTAGCAAGCACTCTACCACCCCCAACTTCTGGCTTTTTCTGTTATTAAAGAGTCTCAGACTTTCCTGCCCAGGCTGGCTTCAAACCTCAATCCTCAGATCTCAGCCTCCTGTGTAGCTAAGATTATAGGCTTGAGCCAACAGCACCCAGCTGAAAATGCTTTTTTTTTTTTTTTTGGTCGGTCATGGGGCTTGAACTCTGGGCCTGGGCGCTGTCCCTCAGCTCTTTAGCTCAAGGCGAGCGCTCTACCACTTGAGCTACAGTACCACTTCCGGTTTTCTGGTGGTTTATTGGAGATAGGAGTCTCATGGTCTCTCCTGCCCAGGTTGGCTTTGTACCGCAATCCTCAGATCTCAGCCTCCTGAGTAGCTAGGATTACAGGCGTGAGCCACCAGCGCCTGGCTGAAAATGCTATTTTTTAAAAGAGAATTCTTGGGTGATATCCAAAAAGAAATGTACTCTTTTTCCTAACTTATATAAACTGTAATCCCTCTGTATATCACCTTTATAATAACTAAAAAGAAAAAACATCCTTAGCCAATGAGATTAATAATGCTTTACAAAATATTCCCAAGCCTATTTTTTCCTAGCTAGTTTGATTTCTGAGTTACTTTAAAATATCTGATCATTTTTTATTCATTTGCCAGATACTAAACATCTTCTCTGGGCTAAGTGCCAGAAATAACAATCCTGAATCAATACACCATTCCTGCCACTAAAGAGCTTTCAATCTGGTGGAGGAAAACAATACATAAATAGTCAATCATAGATTTCAATAGGAAGAAAATTATTTCTGGCCACCCAAAGAAATTCAATTTGTTTTATTTTACTTGTCATGCTGAGGATCAAACTCAAGGTCTTGTGCATATTAGGCAAGCACTCCACTGCTGAGCTATATCTCCAGCCAGAAATATGAGAAATTGTAATCAGATTGCGTTTGTGTGTGCTAAAGCTCACTTAATCTAACCTCTGTCATGCTAAATAATTACTGATTAGTAAACAACAATGTGCTTTCTGTTCTTCAAATAAAGTATTTTTGCTGTGGCTGTTTATTCAGAATAGAGCAGCCAAATATGGCCTGTGGAGTGAATTCAGCCTAACCGAAACAGCTTGCAATCTGATACTATCACAACTTGTCTCTGCAGTAGTCATTCCCTAACTTTGGCTCTACACCTCAGCCATGGTCCTGACTCGTGGTGTGTGTGTGTGTGTGTGTGTGTGTGTGTGTGTGTGTGTGTGTGTGTGTGTGTGTGTTTGTTCTACACCTCAGCCATGGTCCTACACCTCAGCCATGGTCCTGACTC